TAATTTCTCAGCATTCAGAGGTTGAGGCTTCGTAGATATCTACGTGATTATGTGTAGGATTTAATTATATTTGACCAGAAGTTTTTTATACTTATTTGTAATTAGTTGTTGGTATTTCTTAATGAGTGTGGCTAAGAAACAGTATTTGATGCGGATCAGAGATGCCTGGCTAATAACTGATCCTTTTAATAAGGTCAGTGCACGTGGTCGATACAGATACAGTACATTGGATTAGTGCATCAATACCTCCCTACCTCTCTCACTCACTCACTCACTCACTCACTCACTCACTCACTCACTCACACACACACACACACACACACACACACACACACACTTTAATGTTCCTGCTTGCACTGCTGCAGACATGTCCTTGTACTGACTGACACACACAAAACACACACACACACACACTCTCTCTCGTTTCACTGGCTCATTTCCCACACACACTGATATGCATGTGCTCACATGTCTGCATCGATACGCACACACACACACATGCACACACACTCGCACACGATCAAACGCTACCTGCTGGCATGTTAATAGGTTCTCAGTGTGTGTGTTGGACCGTCCAGCTCCGTGAGAACGAGGCTTTTGCAGAGTAAACCGGTGCAGCGGAGCAAAGCTAGGCATTATGGAAGCATTGGGGGGGGGCACACCCCCCTCTCTGCCCTGGACTCTCCATTCACAGACATACTGTCTGAGTCAGAGGTGCCAAATGTTCAGCCCGTGGGGATCACAGGGTGGCTTTGAGAAGAGCTGGACTGTGTTACAGTGCCAGACAGAGAGGAGGGAGGAAATGAAAGGAGGGGACAGAGGAAGGGCGGGACGAAAAGGGAGAAAAAAAAGGTACCTAGAGGTTCGATGGTGAAAGAGAGACAAACATTTTGAGCCAGAGAGTGGTTGCATCTCCCTTATACAAGATCCAACATTAAAATCACACACTGTGCAGACTCTCTCCCCGGCTTCCTCTTTGGTCCTGGTTCTGTTATCACAGCAAAACCCAGCCCCAACCCAGCTGGCAGGATTTCTGCTGCGCTCATATATTTATGCTCTGCGATGCAAAAGAGACACAGAAATAAATATGCTATGTTCACACAAGAAGCCACAAAGCTACAAAACGGCCAAGCGTGGCGGATATATATTGTTTCTAAGGCACTGACTTCCATCGATGATGACTTGTAGCCTTTTGCTTTGTCGCTCGTCGTGTGAACGATAGAGTGCTGCAGGAACGAGTCCTAAAACCCAAAAATAAATCAGCATTTTTACACTTCTGGTTCCTACGTCTCGACTTCAATGTGAATGTGTGTTTGGTTATATGTCTAAAATAAGGTCTGTGTTTAACACAAGATAGAGAGATTTTAAAGTTTAGTTCTCTGATATAAAATAGGTCAGTAAACACCCCTCTGGTGAGTTTAGAAGCTTTTACGTGTCTTTAACAAGAGTGTAAATGAGACGACTAAGCGTCCTCACTAGAACACTAGTCCTCCTTTAGCCTAGTGGAGGAGACGTGAAGTCATGTGACCGTGGTGGAGTTCCTTCATAGCCTAACCTTAGCTTCTTACTGCTGCTGATTGTGTTCACGCTTCAAACATCATAAAAGAGGTGTTCATTCGTGCAGATTATCTTGATGAACAAAACGTGTAAGTATCATAAACGTTCATCTGCCACAGAGATTATTTTCTTCAATAATCAAAAATCCAATGGAAACTAGACAACAAAAATACATCATCCCTGCATCTCTCTATTCACAGAACCTTGAATATACACAAGCTAAATAAATAACGTATGATTATGTAGCTTGTAACCCATTAAAGGGTCGTTCCATAAAGCAGGAGCCAGAACAGAATGCATCAATATTAACATCTGTAAGAAGAGATTTGCTCCATTATGGTCCACCATTACTAACTGGCCCACACAGACAGAAGGAAGAATCATGTTGCTTCAGTCCACAAAGGATTCTAAAACTATGACTTGCATTATTTACAGAGAGCACCCGCTCTGGGATTTGATTGGGTTATGAATGTTTCTAAATGGATGAGTCTTGTTCTGTTCAACTCTTGGTACCACGCTGGATACTGCAGCTGCTGTACGACTCGTTTAATCGAGGGTACATCAATGTTACAATTTCTCTTCTGAAGTTCAGTTCAAAGAACAATACTATTTCCAAATATTAATAAACTATTGCTAAATGTTTGGAGAACTGAACAGACTGTCAGGTAAACAAGTAAGGATGAAAATACAATTTGAATTTCGATACAGTACCGAAATATTGATTTAATAATAGATATTTTGTGTTAAATTTGCCGCCACATGTAGGTAACGAACACAATCGCTCCTCAGAGTCACGCGCTCGGTTCACGGCTGCAGCCTTTCCAGGTCCACTCGTGGTAGTCTAGGTGGGACAACGTGTGCCATGTGGGCCTCGGGTAATGTACGACTTCTTTAGGTAATCGCTGTAATGAAGCTGGGAGCGAAGCGTATACGCGTTCACTTCTACAGTCTCGGGGGGGGGGGGGAGCCTCAGCAAATGAGCCCAGAGGTCCAGGAGATGGAGCGGATGGTTTGTGATGGGGACGGAGGAGGAGCCGGATGTGGGATATTTTGGGTAGAGGAGCAGAGAGCAAGAGAGGGATCGAGAAAGGGGAGCTTAGTCGGAGGGGTGTGTGTGTGTGTGTGTGTGTGTGTGTGTGTGTGTGTGAGATAAATGCCTCATTTCTGTGCTGAGAGGAGCTCAGACAAAATGGATGTTCCCGTGTCCCGGTCCTTTATTTCATCCAGTCAGAGGCCACATTTAGCCATCTATCAGGGACCAGTGCACCTTTTTTAAGCTGTGTGAGCTGGTCGATGTAGTAGGAGATATCTTCTGTATGCTGCTACTTTAATCAGCATCAGGCCAATATTCAACATCAGTATCGGAGCATTTCTAATTGTGAGGTTTGGATGGTTTGTACTTTGTAAAAAGAAGTTTGGGAAACGCTGTTTTATGGAAATGAGTCTGTTATTATCAAGCAGCCTGTGAAAAGGTGCTCCACACGCAATTGAATAATAACATCCACTTGGCGATTTCATCAGATTTGTGGTGTATGGATGATTATGTCCTCGAGCCTGAACGTAGGCGGATGGCGAACGCCGCGTCCGTAGGATTTTTTAATGGAAATGTGGTCACTACATAACAGCAAGGTGAAAGCTCAGCCTTTTAATATACATGTTCCATGACTGGTTTTTTCTTCTAGTGAGGAAAGTCAGCAGCACCGTTTCTGTTGTTTTTTTGTGAGACCATGTTATCATCCCAGTGTAACCACCTGTCTCCATGCAGCTGCAGGTGACCGGCACACCATTTCTTTTGCTTCCATTTTGTCTTTGTGCGACTGTTCCTCTGTGCATTTTTATTTTTGGGCAGCATGTGCACAGACGTGTGTTTGTGCGCTCGTGGGAGTGCTTTTGGATCATCCTGTTAGACCAGCAAGAAAAAGAGCCGTAGATTGGCTGAGGCTTTATCCCCCTCTCTCTTAAAACACAAGGAAAATAGCAACTGTGGAGGAAGGGAGCAGATGAAAATAGCTCAGTAGGCAATCGCTGACTCACAAGGCAGTGCTGGGAGTCAAAAAGGCATCCATTCCAGTATGCATCAAATCACTGTTGTGTAACTCCATCAGCACCCATAAATGAAAAGCGCTCTCCGTGTTCCACAGCTACATCGTCTACTACGACTTTTGTGCAAATGTCCCCTTTTGTGGCTGCATAAAAAAAGAGGGCGGGGACATCACAGGCACCATTCATCACTTTTGACAGCAGTATTTAGGGAGGGGGGGGGGGACCATGCTAACTACCCAGTTCATTTATCACGCCACTCAAGGAGCGCAGGCTGCTCATGTTGCTTTAAGTGCTGTGAAATGGAACAAGAGCACGAACCAGACTCTTATGCACTGTTACTCATGCACCTGTAGTAATTATCAAGTATGTAGTAATACTTGATAATTGCTATGTCACTCGCTGACTTTTGTTTTCTCAAGGATCGTAGTGTTTTATAATTCCCATAGTTGTAATACATTAGAATCTCACCTACAGATAATTATCACCGGAGTCCTCGGCTCATACAGAGCTTCAGGTCTTTGTTCAGCTGTCCGCCTGCACTTTCACTTCTTTTGTTCCGTTTAACTTGTTGTGGTTCGTTGGACTTTCGTGGCGACTCACTCACTCACTCAGAGTGTTCTAGACCCACAACAGTAGGAGATAGCGACCTGCGGCTGTAAATAGACTCAAAGCAACGCTGATACATCTCAGTCCTCAAGAGACAAAGAAGTGTTCTCTGAAAGCTAAGTGCCATTAAAAAAAGAAACTGCGTGGAGGGGTGCTGTGGTTTGAAAAATATTTGGGAACCACAGCGATAGACTGTTTATTGACGGCAATGTGATAACTTGATATTTGCTATAGGTGGCAACGTGTGTGTGTGTGTGTGTGTGTGCGTGTGTGTGCCAGCTCAGCATCGTGACTGATCTCAGAACTTTCCAAGGACTCCAGCTCTTTCTGTTATTGTCCTTTTCTCTGTCGTTCTGAACATTCCTGGTTTGGAGTCATGAAGCCGAAGCATTACAAAACACATCGTGTCTTCACTTCGCTTTTTTGGACAAATCTCCATCTATTCGCGCCCACTGCCGTCCATCTTTGCACCGACTTGATGCGCCGCCACCCCGCCTTCTAAAGTCTGAACAACAACCTGATGAAACAGGGAGATGAATGAATCTCTTTGTTTGAATGTAAATATCCCAAATCAAACCTGTGCACACAAACAAACTCAATGTGATAATGTGACTCAGGGCCTTGTCTGATGAATGTACAATTATTCACTGAGTCATTTTTGAATTTCTCATGGAATAACAGTGTCTGCCTCCCGTCTCTTTCTCTCTGTACTCACTCTACTTTTGAATATTTCACACTGTGTGTGCCAGAAATCCGACCGACTGCTTTGTTCTGCTTTGTTTGTTTGCGAGTAGCCGCCTGCTTGATGTCGTCAGCGCTGCTGCAGTGGCACCGACAGTTGACCCCTGCCGGGATTATGAAATGGTGTTTTTATTTCTTGCCAGGTACATTAAATTGAATGGAAGCAATCTGGTGATTTAATAATTCACGAGTAAATAACCGTCTGTCTCCAGGTTGAGGCCCTGAGCGATGCAGTCTCTGTTCGGCGGAGGGGAGCTGGGGCTCCTGGGAGGCGGCGGCGGCGGCGATGCCGGGGGCCTGAAGGACGACGGCTGCGGTGGCGTGGCGTGGCACTCCTCGTCCCCCGACGACGTCTACTCGGCCTCCCACTTCGCCCTCATCAGCGCCTACCAGGAGATCAAGACGAGGCTGGCCCTGCTGGAGCGCGAGAACACCAGCAACAAGAGGAAGCTCAAGATCTACGAGATCAAGGTGAAGAGCTGTCACTTCAATGCTCACAAAGTCAAATATCAGCATTTCTATTAACCGTTAATATTGCTGTCCCAGTGCAGACAAGGATGAGGCCAGCTTGTTTTTTTGATTTATTAGTCTTTTAAAAATTGGAGTTAGCCGTCCACCCTGAAAGCACGATGGAGGCAGGGAGATTGTACACAAAGATAAAAGGAGAGCACGCTTTGGTGGGCTTTGATCCGGGACCAGCGGGGAACAAACTGGAGAAAGAACTCATGTTTAAGTAAAAAATAATATAGAGCAACAACCGTGAGGAGCACTGGGAGCCAACGGAGCAAACGGAGCAGCTATAAAAAGGGTTCTGCACACATAAGCTCTAGTTGACACTGAATTAGTCGCTCACAGGAGCAAACACAGACCATGGACCCCACTTACACCTGGTAATAACATGCAATCTGTACATGGAAATATAGATATTGAGGAAAGGTCTGAAGGTTTTGGATTTAACTGATTTCATCCACATTGTAATTGGACCTCGGTATGCAAACTGTGTCGGCAGAGCCGGCGGATTGGTCAACAAACCCGTCCCGGGTCGTAGAGCGGCGCTGCTGAACGGGCTCTTCAAGTTATTCATTGTCATGTGCACAACAATTACAGAGAAGCAAATCTCAGGCTCCCTCCAACAATCCTCTTAAATATCTACATAAAGAAAAATCACACAAAAGATACGATACAAAAAGATAATATAAGACATCAAATAATATATATTTGTGGTAGACAGGTGTACAGTGATTGTAAAATGTACAAGCTGAATGTAGTATGTAGGCTTAATGTGGAGGAACTATATATATATATATACACATATATATATAGTATACACACACACACAGAGTCAGAATATAAGAAGTGTTAAGGGAAGACGTGGTTGTGTGTAGATTTTTCTTGAGACAGCATGAAGGCAACGGGTTGATATTACGGCTGCAACTATTCACATTATCGATTACTACATTACAGTCATTTAGCAGACGCTTTTATCCAAAGCGACTTACAATTCAGATTCTATCACATTTCTACAGAGTAGGCACAACTACGGGAGCAATTTTGGGGTTAAGTGTCTTGCTCAAGGACACATCGACATGCGACTAGCGGAGCCGGGGATTGAACCGCCGACCCTCTGATTGAAAGACCGCCCTGCTATCCACTTAGCCACAGTCGTCCGATTATAATACACTTTTTGTTCTTGGTTCATCAATTTATTTAGTCTATAAAATGGCAGAAAACTGTGACAAGTGCCTGTTATAATTTCAGACAATCCAATATTGGTTTTATTAATGAAGTAAAACAAAGATTATTGGTGAAATGGATTCAGCGGGGAAATAGCTACGTGTTTATGAAGAATGCTCTCGTCAAAGGGAGTCCAGAGCTCATCCAGAGCGTCATGAGGGAGCAGAGAAAATGAGCTGCACAAGTCTTATCTCACTCTTCACAACGTTACTCTGGATGTCATTTTAGATAACAGAGTAACATTTCAGCAAAGCCAGGCCTGATTGCTTGGTGGCGGAAACCAGAGCACTTTTTCTCCAGTTGCATGAGAAAGCAGGTGAGGCAGAAATCCACATCTTAGTAGTTGCTGGGCCAACGGACACATACAGTATATAGTGGGGGGGAAGGTAGCGTCAAGGAATAGCGTGGGAGGACAGAAAGTGAAGAAAAGTGGAAAACAAATAAGTGGAAAGAAGGAGTTAAACGAGCGGAAAGATGCAGCGTAAGACAGAGAGATGAAGAGGAACGAGGGAGTAAAAGGAGATAATGATGCAGAGAGCAAGGGAGAGATACATTACTGAAATTAAGAACAAAGGAGGATTACCGAAAAAAAATCCTGGATGTTCTTCATATTAATATGAGTGTGTGGTGTTTCCCTTTTTCTAGGAATGATATGATGTAATGTACCCACTCTGCCTTCTGCTAGTGCTGCCTTTACTTCAGGTTCATGAGAACTTTTAACAAGCTGTGCTGTTCACAACAAGAGAGGGGGGGGGGAGAGAGAGAGAGAGGGACGGACAGACAGACAGACAGAGAGAGAGACAGACAGAGAGAGAGAGAGAGAGACGGAGAGAGGGGGGGGGAGAGAGAGAGAGAGACAGACAGAGAGAGGGACAGACAGATAGAGAGAGACGGAGCGAGAGGGGGTGAGAGAGAGAGAGGGAGAGGGAGACAGACAGACAGAGAGAGACAGACAGAGAGAGACAGACAGACAGACAGACAGAGAGAGAGAGACGGAGAGAGAGACTGAGAGAGACGGAGAGAGAGAGAGAGAGAGGGAGACAGACAGACAGAGAGAGACAGAGAGATGGAGAGAGAGAAAGAGACTGAGAGAGACAGAGAGAGACGGAGAGAGAGAGAGGATGAGTATGAGAAGCACTCGTTTCTTGTCTGAGAGGAAAGAGAACAAAAAGCTTCAAATGACAAAAAGTCGTCAGAGAGGCTGCTGTACTTGAGATGCTGAGGAATTCCCAAAAAGATGCAAGCTGTTGCTGCATCTTGGTCTCCGAGGGATAAGGTCGGAAGGGGAAACTAAACCATCTGTGATGTTTGAGTTGAATTCAAACAGCGGAGGATTAGTGCTGATGCTTTTAATATATTTATGATTGATTTTTTTTTTTATGCCTCCTCACCGGCGGCAGCTGGTCGGAGGCATTATGTTTTTTCCGGCTACTCTGTCGTGAACGTGATAATTCAGCAACACCGTGACTTCACAAATCATGTTCTTGGCCATAACTCAAGAATTCATAAGCTAATTATGACAATGTCACACAAATGTTTTAACGGGACAAAATGGTGAAGTGATGACATTTTAGGACATGGATGGAAACTGCAACGTGACAGGTTGGCGGAGCGTAAATCCAGTTTTTCCAGTTAAGAAATTGATGGAAATGCAGTTTGACTTTGTCTTCCCTCTCCTGACGTACGTGTCAGAGCAGAAATCCTGCGTCCTGTTAGTGAGCAGCTGTTACTGAGGGCTGCAGGCTGCCACATCGCTGTTGACTTACTCGCAGGCGGCAGTTTGTTCAGGGCCCATTCCCAAAGAGACAGGTGTTGGTGTTTGGGGGCGAGCAGGTACAGATGTTGGCTGTTTGGAGTCGGAGCTGTCACACCTGTGACTCTGTAAATATAGCAAGTGCCTTTTTTTTTTAATTGGAAAATCAATCAATATAATCATCATATTGGCTCCTGAAAAGGCTAAATCCTTTTTCCTTTTTTTAAAGGAAAGGCAAGTGTTGTTGCAGGCTTTTCTCCACACACAAGATGCCCGAGTACAGCTGCTGTAATGACGCAGATGGAAGTGCTTTCCTGCTACTTTGAACATGGGTTGCAGTGAGGTTGTTAGCGCTCCCGATGCTCTGCGGTACGAGGAGTCTTGGAACTCCTGGGGGGGTTTTGCCCTTGTTGCGAACATTTACTGTTAACTGAGCAGAGAGAGATGTTCTGCTAAATGGAAAAGGGTTGTTTGCTCCTCAAATAGACATTGCATCAGCTGCAACGACTTCGTACGGAAAATGAGAAACCCTCCCTGCTTACGGCAGGCACTCTAAATGTAAATGTGTTCATTTAGGTCGAACCACTTGCAGTTATATAACTTGTCGTGTGTGTTTTCTATCACAGGAGTCTGCAACCAGACAACAGTTTAGCACCATAACTAGACACATCGCTCACTTCACAAGTAAAACAACAGCGGTACAGCCCATAAATGCATAGTTATGGTTACATAATCGATCGTATCTGCATGAAAATGCAATTATTTCTGCATAATATAAATGTTTATCTGTAATGCTGCAGCATCACAGCTATACCTCATTTCATATAAAACAGTTAATATGTCTTCCTCCATGAATCATGAGTGGTGCAGCAATAAGATGTAAATGATATATAATAATATTAACATTGATAACAAAAACAATAACACTGACATGAACAATAATAATGATAGTCATAATGATAATATTCTTTGTGTCTAATATGTATTGTGAGTGCATTAAAGCTTGATATCTCTTCCTCTGAGCCACAGAGCTCCATTAAAAACACATCAGTGAGCTTCACTGTTGCTCCTTCATCACCATGAACACACACGCTGTAGTTTATTCTGACTCCATCACACACACACACACA